AGGAAAATTGAACACAGTAATAATTATATATGACTTCGGTGTATTTTTTCCTCTGTCGATCTGACAAAGTAAATTTTAGAAAAATTATCACTAGCAACATTTTGGTGATGGTTTTCGGAATACCTATTAATATATTTGAATATTAATGTTTGGTAAAGCATAATTTGATTGCTAAGTCATGTCTGACTCCTTGTGACCCCATGAACTGCAGCATGCCAGGCTCCCCTGTCCTTCACTGTCTTCTGAAGTTTGCTCAAACTCATGTCCATTAAGTCAGTGTTGCCATCCAACCGTCTCATCCTCTCTTGCCTCTTCCTCCTCCTGCCCTCAATCTTTCCAAGCATCAGGGTCTTTTCCAATGAGTCAGCTCTTTGCATCAGGTACAGAAAGTATTGGAACTTCAGCATCAGTCCTTCCAATGAATATTCAGTGTTGATTTCCTTTAGGATTGACTGGTTTGCTCTCCTGGCTGTCTAAGGGACTCTCAAGAGTCTTCTCCAGCACCACAATTTGAAAGCATCAATTCTTCAGTGCTCAGGTTTCTTTATGATCCAACTCTCACATCTGTACGTAAAGGTTGACTAGCTGATTATTAAGTATAATGTTTATAGTTTTTTGGATCCTCTCATTGTTACGCCTTTAGACTGTGCTGCCATATGTGGCTGTTTACATTTAAACTAATTACAGTTAGGTAAAACTTAAAATTCAGCTCCTCACCCACGTTAGCCGCATTTGAAGTCTCAGCCTGTGTGGCTGCCACAGTAGGTGCAGGGCCACCCATCAGCACAGTTTTTGAGGCCACACGCTACTGTGGGCTGCTGTTCTCCACTTTGTTCCTCACTCCCACTATATGTTCATCTGGTTTACCTGTCTTGAAATAAGGAGTTTAGCTGGCTAATTTCTTAGCCTGGTTATTTCCCACATTTGTACTTTTAAAAAGAGGTTGATGTTAAATATGTTTATGTGTTCATTTTATCTTATTGTTAAGAGTTCTCTTATGTAACATTATGTGGCCTTGGGCAAGACCGGAAAACTTTCTGACCTTCTCTGTATGCTGAGTGAGGGTGAGAATAACCATGCTCTCAGAGGCCGTCTAAGGATAAAATCGTGCCCATGGAACAGGGCTTGGCACCCACCACCCGCTGTCAAGATGATGTGTTTCTAACCCACGCCCACTCAAAAAATCTAATCTTTGTTATTTTAAGCTTCTAACTTGTAGAATGACTTGCTGTGTAGCAATAGATAGCTAATCGGATAACCAGTCAGTGAGGCAGACAAAAGTTAGTGAAGGAACACAGACTTGAAGAATACACTTAAGTAACTTGACTTACAGATCTCATACAAAACTATCTTTAACAACTAGAATATGTGCATTCTTCTTGGTTGATATTGTCTTAAAAATAGATTGTGTGCTAGGCCATACAGCAAATCTCTACAAATGTAAGAGAACCATTATCAGAGAGCATATTCTTTCACTGTAGTGCAATTAAATTAGGGTTAATGACAAAAATATGTGCATTTTCAATCCTTATAGAAAAAATTTTAAATATTTCCAAATAATTCCTGGGTCAAAGAAGAAATAATAATGGAAATTTTAAAATACCTAGAACTGATGAATAATCATAAAAAGACTAAATATCAAATTTTATGTGATATCGTTAATTTGATACTTAGAAGAAATATTATATTCTAAGCTCATTTTAGAAAGAAGGGAGGTTCGAAATTAAATGAGCCAAACCTCTAACATAAAAAGCAATTTAAAAATAATAGGATAAATACAAAGAAAATAGAAGGCAGGAGATTATAAGCATAAGGGTAGAAATTAATGACAGGAACTGAGTAAACAAAGCCAAGAGTTGGTTCTTTGAAATGATTAATAATAATTCAATGAAAAAACTCATAGAGGAGAGAAGATATAAATAAGCAGTACTGAAAAGGGAAGATATGAGGATCAGCCCCATCTATTAGAGATGTAATGAAAGGGTATTGTTCTATCTTTATGCTATGCTAATAAACTTGAAAATGTAAACAAAATGGATAAACCCTTAGAAAAATATAACTTACCAGAAAATCCCCAAAAGTTTAACTATTATTCAAGAAATTGAGAGCTAAAGTCTTCCCAGGTAAAGAAAGCCCAATAGCCAGGTCATTTTATTACTAAATCCTTTCAAACTGTCAAAAAACAGATGACTCAAGTCTTATACAAAGTTTTCAGATGAAAAAGGAATTCCTGTCTGCTCATTATATGAAGCTGATATAAAGAATCTGGATACCAGATCTGAGAGAGAAAATTAAAGGTCCGTATCACTCATGGGTATAGATAACAAAAGTCTGAATACATAGCAGAATCGTTGCTCTTTCTTGGGAGTAAAAAATTGTTTTCACACTTGGTAAACTGTCATTGTCATTTACCACATTAGCAAAGGAGATGAAAACTTATACAGTCTTTTCGTTGAATACAAAAAATGCATTTTATAAGCTCTAGGACCCAATCATTATTTTAAATTTTTCTCAGTAAACTTGGAATCTTTAACCTGATGAAGAATATCTACCACCAAAAAAAAAAAAAATTGAGGATACATACTTTCTTTAAAACCAAAAACACAGTGAGGATGCCCTGTGTCACTGCTTCTGTTCACCGTGGCACTGAAGACGTTCAAGGGCAATCAGAGAAGATGATACAAAAAGAGCATCAGGTCTGGGAAAGAAAGAAATAAAGTGAAGTCGCTCAGTCATGTCCAACTCTTTGCGACCCCGTGGACTGTGGCCTACCAGGCTCCTCCGTCCATGGGATTCTCCAGGCAAGAGTACTGGAGTGGGTTGCCATTTCCTTGGTGGGCGCTTTCCTTATGCACAGACCAGATGGTAATGTGAACCTCATTAGAAGTGTTGTGAATAGTAAACTCCATTAGGATTGATGGATTACAGGAGCTGATTGTACTTTCCATCCATTGGCCACAAAGAAAAACACTGTCCAAAACAGCAAGCACAACTGTAGGCAGTCTACTCACAGACCTTACAGAGGCGGAGCATGAGCTGTAAGGGAACCATGTTCTAAAACCTGGCCTAAGTGCCCCTCCCTTCCCCCCAAGGCAGGACGGACTCCCGGTGCCGTCCCTGTGCCAGCCCGAGCTCACTCCCTACCGTCTCCTTACAGTGAGAACATTCAAGCTGCTGCAGTCACCCCCACAGTACTACCTCCCTGCAAGGCGTTTGTGTTCCCTGAATGTGATGTAATTTATGGGAAACAACTCTCGATTCAGGAAAAACCAGTTGATCGAGGGCCTTTTCTGTGCAGGCCTGCAGTGGTTTTTGGAGATAGCAGGTCATGAGCAGGAACCAGTTTAGTGCTTGGGGCTCCTGTGTGCTCCTCAGCCCACTCCCACTGGGAGTGTGTTGACCGCCCGGCTCCCGTCCCCGTGGGCCAGGGGGACAGAGCCGCCTGCGAGAGCCGACAAGGCAGGCAGGTATGTGTGGTGGGTGTGAACACATTGAGGAGAGTAGTAGGGGGGCCTGAGTGCCTCCCTCCCCGCCAAGGCAGGACGGACTCCAGGCCGAAGAATAAACAGGAGCACCCTTCCTGGGTCATCTGCGACTTGGGCAGGCTTAAGGCAAGGGTAGGATCCAGTTCCCCACCTCTCCCTTCTCCACACAAGCAGTCAGAAATCCTCTCTAGTTTCAGGTAGCATTGAAATATATACATTACCATATGCAGAGTAGATAGCTAGTGGGAAGTTGCTTTGTGCCCTGAGGAGATCAGCCCAGTGCTCTGTGATGACCTAGTGGGGTGGAATGGGGTGGGGCGGGGAGGGAGGTTCCAGAGGGACGGGATATATATACACACTTATGGCTGATTCCCATTGTTGTGTGGCAGAAACAAGCACAACATTGTAAAGCAATTATCCTCCAATTAAGAAAAAAAATTCTAGTCTTAAAAAGCAGATCCCTTTGGACGCTGTGGGAGAAGGCAAGTGTGGGATGATTTGAGACAATAGCACTGAAACATGTATATCATCATATGTGAAATAGATGGCCAGTCTGGGGTCGGTGCTTGAGACAGGGTGCTCAGGGCCGGTGCGCTGGGATGACCCTGAGGGATGGGATGGGGAGGAAGGTGGGAAGGGGGTTCAGGATGGGGACACATGTACACCCATGGCTGATTCATGTCAATGTATGGCAAAAACCACCACAATACTGTAAAGTAATTAGCCTCCAATTAAAATAAATAAATTAAAAAAAAAACAGATCCATGGAGGTTTTTGTACACATCTTGACTTCATTTGTGTTAACAGTAATACAGAGCAGTATGAAATGCTCCAGGGGTCGGTCAGGCGACCGAGGGCATGGGTGTGGGTGTAGGACCCCCTGCCCTGCCCTCTCACAGCTGGCAGATGGAGCCTGGTCGCTCGGCCCTGCCTCAGCCTCAGTTAGACTAGGAGCAGAGGAGCAAGTCAGGGCAAACTAAAGGGCTTCCCTCGTAGAGGCTCTGCATTGCAGAATAGTCAGGGGACAAAACCACACGATAGGTGTAACACAGAAATGCGTGCTGTCTTCATCCCTGCCTTTACACGGCAGGCTGCTCCAAACAGGACAGGATCGTGAGAGACCGTGGCTCCATACTGAGCATCCGTACAAAACATAAATGTTTCTGTTACGGCAGCCAGGGTGAACAGGGGACAGGGGGCTACTCTGTGTCCAGCAGTGGTAAAATGCTTGATTTGAAAGTGCCTCAGTGTGCTCTTGTAAAGGACGTTGGCTTTAGGGAGTACTTATCTTCCTGAAGAGAATTCTGTCTCTTGTTTTCTGTGGGTAGTGGTCCACACACCTGCTTGTACAAGTCTAAGAAGTGCATGTTTTAGTTCAGTATCATTCCTTTATCCTGGTTCACCTATTTAGGAAGATGCCTACAGTGGATTTCTGTTGAAGGAGAAGGAAATTCTGGTCTCTGTACCAAATCAAAACCTGGTTCCTAAAGAGCAAATGTGGATGTTTTTTTGTAGAGTCTGCCTTCTTGTGCAAGATGCCCTTGGACTCTTCAGTGAGGTGCACTCGGAGGGTGACGTCCTGAAGGACAGGCAGCTGGAGGGGAAGTGCTGCAGGCTGTCAGGCATGAAGGTTCTGCAGAAGGTCACCAGAGCAAGGTGAGACATCTGTACTTTTATTTTTAAAGACAAACTAGGCCCTAAAGTTTGCCTCTAAAACAAGGCCCGGAGTTGGGTTAAGCCCATAAAGTACTTCTGAGAGAAACATTATGTGACAAGAGAAATAATGATGCAAGTTTAGTGATTCACAATTTTATTAAGATTAGGATTAAAAGTGCTATATATGTGTCTTTTAATTCTAAAGTTTTTTCTGTATATTATCTATACTAATAAGGTAGCTTTGCGTGAATTCATTTATATAAATGAAAAAACTTTGTGAAAAGGCATTTAAAAACTCTTATTTTGTCATGTTTTTTGCTTTCCATGGCAAGAAAGCATATTTTCTGTCGAGTTGCATGACACCTCACCCTCAATGTTGTTTTGGGTAGGGATGGTACATGTATCTGGCCCAGTGGTGGGTTGTTCCATTCCAGTAATCATCTTAGTCTTGAATTAGGGGAAAGAAGAACATTTTTAATGGAACTATCCAGTCATGTAGAGAATTGTAAACAGTGAATTTGGGGGTTTCTCATTGGAGCCTCTTTCCTCAAACAGCGTGTCATTGTATGTCTTGATGTCGGTGTTTTGCTGGAGTAATGTCTGAGCTTGCCACACTGTCTGAGGGAGGACAAGCCCATTATGTGCATATGCTCTCCGACTTGGAGCAGGTTAGAAGCCAGTGGTCTGCACAGCAGCCATCTGGCTGTGGTCTTCCTAAACTTTGAGCATCACCGAGCATTCCTCCGCACGACCTCCATCCACACTCCGCTCTCCCCATCCCAGCTCTGTCTTTCACGTGGCACCGGGCAGGTGAGCAGTGGCTCCACCCAGGACCCTGCTTTCCTGAAGGACAGATCCCCTGTGAGCCCTGGGTTGATTTATACACGTTTGTCTTGTAGCAGATGCTTCCTCCTGTTTGTGGAAAGGTAGCTGTATTATAATGTAATTGCCTTATAGGTTAGGCACAGCACTGCCCAGATATTTGGAAAGCCCAACTGGGCTGCATGAACTTTGTCCTTACAAAGTTGAACCCCATTTAGCCCTCAGTTTCAGAATCACAAGCATCTAGAAAGACATTGTGTAGTTGTAGTAAGCAAGGTTTTGCCCTGACATTAAGCCTGGTGGCAGTAACTCCACTGGCCCCATGTAGACCTCCCAGAGGTGCACTCAGCACAGTTCCCCCGCTTGCCACCACACGCCAGGTACAGGGGGCTCTGCGTCATGTGCATCTCAGTGGAGCCCCTCCAGCTGGCAGATCTCTTAGAGTGCTACAGGGGGCTGCTCCTGGGGACACACTTCCTGCTGGTGAAGGCGGGACTCGCCTCCCGGGCCGCGCTCCTGGGGACTGACGGAGCCTGGGGCCTAGGGGCTCTGGCTCCATAAGGCACCTGCTGTTTACCATGAAGCCACAGAACCGTCTGTGTACCTGACATTTAATTGGGTTCTTGTGAGTTGTACTGGAGGCATACTGCTGTCTACAGCATTGCCATAGGACATATTTTTTCTGTAGGAAATGCACTGAGTAGTCTACATAATTTGTTTACAGACAAACTTTTGGAATCCATTCCATTTTTAAGTTGAACCAAAATTTGACTAACTGTCGTTTAGTTGCTAAGTCATGTCCTGCTCTTTGCCACCCCATGGACGACAGTCCCCCAGGCTCCTCTGTCCATGGGATTTTCCAGGCAAGAATAATGGGGTGGGTTGCCATTGAAATAGTTGATACTTCTTTTTAGGTTGGAATTAATTCTTTATCTTATGTATTAACTTTGCTTTGACATGTAACCATCCAAATAAATAGATTGTCTTTTTGTTCTTTTGGAAGCTATATTTCTTCAAAACAAATTATTTAATAGTTTTGGAATGCTGAATGTTATAATTGCCTATTAGTGACATCATCCACTGTCAGTCATCCATCCATGGCCCAGTAAACAAAAATTGTCTCTTTTTTTTCCCCAAAATTATTGTGTTTCATAGCAACTCATAAACCTTAACAAAATATATTTCTCATAAACCTTAACAAAATAGACTTACTTCCCAGAATTCAAACTAAAATGATTAATTATAATTATATAACTCCAATATTTAATATAGAAAGCTACTTCTTTGCCAGTTGGAAGGTAGTTTTATGTTTGGGCTAAGTCATGGAGTCTTTTACATCTTAGTTCCTGGGTTTCTTCTGGTCCACCATCACAGTGACATCTTTGGGTAGACAGATGGCCTTGGGGCTGGGCCCCTGTGCAGGGTACCCCACCCTGTTCACCTGCCCCCCTTGGAATGGTTGAACAAAAACAGCCGTCTTTTGTGTTTCTGTGACATATTTTTAGTGTTTTGTGTCCGTACTGACCAGTTAAAGTGAGAAGAGTCAGGAAAATAGCCTGGATGTAATGGAAAAGACCATTTCAAACAGCCCTGCTGAGCCCACCCCTGCCCTGCTCTCTCCTTCCCCAGGACGCTGGCTGTTTGTCCAGGGACAGGCGTGTCCTCTGACCTTTTTTCTCTCGGGTGGCCTCTGCCACGGTTTAGAGGTCAGATAGGCTGAAAACTCACTTTACTTTGGTGTCATAATTCTGGGTATGAGCATTATCTTTTTATTACTGATTAGTATGTGATCTTATTTTTATGAGTTACGGCAATACTGAGGGAAAACAGAACTTTGCTGAAATATGTTAACCCTAGAAGTATAGAAAATATAGGTAGCAACATTTTTGCAGGGGAGGGGAACCTTTTTCAATTCAAAATCCTGCTAGTACTTATGTCCCAACTTGTTAGAACCGAAGCTACTAACCCGTCTGAAGTACACTATTCGTGTATAAGGCGCTGTTTTGCTTAGGTTTTTCCAGCGGCACTTTGAGAGCGATGTGCTGAAGAAGACTGGTGAGAGCGCTTAGTCAGCCCTCACTGTATACAGACAAGTCTGCCTGAGTGCTGCCATGATGAGGAAGCAACTCACATTGTCTTTGGCCTTGGCTTGTGCCCCTTTACATTGAAGACTAGATCTGCCCAAGGACTGGGGCGGCTGTTGCTTTAAGTGATGAGGTCTTAAATGTGTGGTCTCAGAAGATTTCCTGAAAGCAGTGAGTGAGAAGAATGTTGAGACATCCTGATCTTGCAAATAGAAATTGTCTCCTCAAATTGGTAAGATGTTACTGTGAAGACATAAAAGTAGGGTTAGGAGAAAGTATAATTCATTTATTCTTCAAATATTTGGTGCCTGTTTGTGCTGTGCATCTGGCTAGCTACTGCTTTGCTAGATTTTGGGGACTTATCCTAAATCAGAAAGTACTGAAATAAAAAGTCAGTCAGATGAAGCCTCAGATCCTGTTAACTAGGAATTCTGCAGTGATCCAGGGAAAGTAAGTGCCCCTAGGAGTTTTTGAGAGAAGAAACAAAGAGGTAAGAAAATTGAAAATGGAGTACAGATGATTCTGCTCTTACATTTTTAATTTATTTGAAAGAGAGGGAAAGACTGGGGCAGAGGTACAGACCTGGGAACCTCTGCAGCCGCTGAGGGCAGAAGGAGGGACCTGGCACTGTGGATTTTTAACTTCCGGTAGCTCCGGGGTGGGAGTCGGGAAATTCTCCTGGGAGCCAGGACTAATGCCAGGAGTGTAGATTAGCCCTTCCTGCCCGAGCTCACAGACCAGCAGGAGAGCCAGGAGGAGGTCCTGAAAGACACCAGCCAGCGAGTGCCACACCCAGCAGCCATTTTGTAGGGCTCAGAGGGCAGGTTCAGATTTGGGGACCCTGCAGAGAACCACAGGAGTCTGGGGCTGAGGACTCAGGTGAGGGTGCGGGGGACACACTCCCCTGGTCTAGACATCCACTCCCCCCCTGGGGTGGAGACTGGTGAGCTTTTGAGGATAGAGTGAGGGGTTGGGCATGCTGAGGAGGGTGTATTTCAGAGAATGGTCCAATTAATAGTTAGTGTTTACATGCCAGCTTTTGTTTTAAAGGTAACAGATTAAGTACCAATAATCTTTAAGTTCAAAACCAAGCTTAGTTAGCTTGCTCACAAACTAACCCACAGCCAGGAGGTCAGAAGCCCCCATCCCACCCCCAGCCCACGGCACTTGCTGCCCAGAGCACTCACCCTTTGTCCCAGGTACCAGCCCCTCCTGCCCTCACAGCTGGGCTCTCTAAGGCCCTCTGTCTCCTGCAGCAGCTCCTTTGGCCCATCGCTCAGGGTTATGTGGGTTTCTCATGACCTGTGTCCCACCAGAGGGGTGTATTCTAAAGTAAACTTGAGCGACATCTTAGTGATAATATGCAAGTATCAACACCTGTCTGAGGAGCCCTGGAATGCCTCCCCTAGCTGGCCTGTGCCAGGTACAGGCTGCCCAGCCCAGGGTCCCGGTGGCTTACTGACATACAGGCTGGTTCTCAACCCAGTCACTCCCCTCTGCATGGTGGAGACCACTGTGGGTTAGCATACCTTGTGGCCAATGTCCAGGCTGGTCTGCCCATCGCCAGGCTCTCTGAGTGCAGGCTGTGTTTCTCACTCACCATTGTATTTCCTGTGCACGGGTCAATTCCTGGCACCTGAGAGGCTCATAATAAGAGTTTGTGGAATGGACATTAGTTGTTTGCTTGGATTCATCTTGGATTTTCCTCAACAAGATTTGAACTTGTGCTTTCTTAGCAGCAGTCACTGGTGCACAGTTTAAGAGGGAAGAGTAAAGACTAAGTTGTCCTAAGACCAGGTGCAGATGGGAAACACGTCCTCTGTGTACCCTGGGCTGGGACCCTGGGTCCTCCCCACTGTGTCCAGGGGGACACACTCGAGGTTGTTGGGAAAGTACTTTATCAGGGATGCAACCCCAGCTTATGGAGGAGGGCCCAGAACAGGTGAGGGTGACTAGTCAGGCTCTGCCCTTACTCTGGGCCCTGGGGCGTCGGTCTCCTGGAGGCCCTTGTGTAACCAGGTGCTTGGAGGGGCAGCACAGGGAGCTTTTAGGAACCATCCAGCACGAGTGGACGGGGCTTGGGGGCCGTTGTTA